CGCTGGCTCTACAGCTTGGAAACAGAGATGAGCGGTGCCCCCTAGAGTCAGACATGACTAGACTAAATGTCAAGGGGAACTTTTACCTTTACCAATGCAGAATACAAAATAATGGGTCTTCATGAAGAACAAATTACATTTGATAAACTGCTGCTAGAGATAAATGATAAAAATAATTAAAAGAATGTATGAATAACTGTTCATGCTTGCTCTTCATGTGGACAATGTGCTTCAGGAGTGCTAAATATCATTTGAAGGGCTTTGTTGATTTGTTTAAGAATAAAAAAAAGTTGCCAGATGGAAGGAGTGGATGATTAAAATGAGATCGAAGGATCAGATTATAGTTAAACTTCAGACTAATAAATCATCATGGTATAATTATATCAAGTTAGATGAACTAATGAATGGTTGAGGACGAATGGCAAATGTAGAGAATGAAGTATGAACAATTTCTATAATCACATGAAGACATGCAGAAAGATGCTTTGAGGAAGGGAGTAGTAAGTAGAATTTATAACCTAATTTTTGAACAAGAGGAAAAAGAGACTGAAATAGGTTTGAAATAAATTTGGGAACATGATTTAAAAACAGAAATTAAAACAGAGGATTGGACAAAAATTTGGAAGATGAGGGTTTTAAGATTAATGTTGGTAAGAAAAAAGGAAAATGTTTTTAAAATTAGTTTAAGGTGGTACATGGCTCCGGTGAAATTGAACATAATACATTCAGACTATTCTAAGGTCTGTTGGAAATGTGATGAAGAAATTGGCACATATTATCATATGTGGTGGGAGTGTAAATTAATTCAGAAATTTTGAAAATTGATTTTTAAGGAAATATGTGATATATTTGGAAAAGATATTGAATTCAATTCTAAAATTGTTTTGCTGTCAATTTTTGATAAGATATAACTTGATTATTGCTCAAAGGAAGTGATTTCTAATTTTATAACAAGTGCTAGAATATTAATAGTTAGATTCTGGAAAGATAAAATGATATTAAATTAGAAGATTGGTATAATGAAGTATGGGACATTGTGTTAAATGATAAATTGACTACTGAACTTAAAATGAGAAGAGGGGAAATAAGTTTAAATATTTTTTATGCTATTTGGGGTAGATTTATTGAATTTGTATTAGTGAAAGGAAAGGGGAAAGCCTCTAAGCAACAATCAATAAAATTTTGGAAAGGAGGTTCGTAATAAAAGTATTGCTCCAAAGCGTCCTGTGGGTATGGGGGTGCACTGTGTTTTAGATTGTATTAGTAAGTATTCTTGTATTTGTTTTGGATATTAAAATAATAATAATAAAAGAATGTATGAATAAATATGAAAATAGAAGATGAAGTGGTGAAAGACTGTATGATAAAATGGCCCCAAAATGTTGGTCATAATATTGACTTAGACACTGGGCACAAATTTGGCAGAATAATATTAAACTTATAAAACCAGTACATGTTGAAGAAAAAAAACAAAATATGTTTTATAGATGGCATATGACTCCAACTAAATTGTCTAAAATGTACGAAAATACCTCCAACAAATATTGGAAATGTAAAATGCAGGAGGGTACTTTTTACCATATTTGGTGGACATGCAGGGAAGCAAAAAATTATTGGTGATCAATACATGAAATGTTACACAAAATCTTATCTTACGTGGTAGCATTTAAACCGGAATTGTTTTTATTCAATATTATGACCAAAATTATAGATAAATGAGATATTTTATAATACATGTAATTAGGGCAACGAGGATACTATATGGAAAATATCGGAAGAAAGAAGAGGTACCATCTCTGGAGGAACTGATAGAAAAGATACTGGAAGTGGGGGAGATGGATGTACTAACAGAAGCATTAAATAAAAGATGTCAAAGACTCAAAAATTGGGAACACTTTTATAACTGGATCCAAAATATGGACTGGAAAGTATAGATAAAAGACATATGAGTAGATCCAAAGGAATGGAGAGAGTAGCAACAATAGTCTGGAAAAATTGTTAAATTGTTTACTTATGTGATTTCCCTTTTTAACATAATTATGTACGTTGATGTAAGAATACTCTTTCGCTCTCTGGAATTTTATTCTTTCCCCATCCTTAATTATCCCTTCTTTACCCCTTGTACCCACACCCCAATCCTTAACCTTATTGAAAATGAATACATGTTTTTAAAAAATCTCAATATTATTGGGCTTGAGGGCACATTTTCCAAACTATCTTTTAAAATGCAACATATATGGATGTTAAAATTCAACCAGTTTCCCCCTGTTCACAGGCCCTGTGGAGCTTTGCAGCAGAGGTCTTGAGGGACAGAAGGAATAGTAGGAAATCATGATTTTTGTTGTCCTGCTGACAGAATCCTTCAAGTGGCAGACGAACACTATGCAGATTATCACACACATGCACACATACACTTCAATAATAAAGACTTAATGTTTTCCATTAATAAAAATTTATTAATAGAAAGCTGCATTATAAGAAAAAATTGATTTTTAAAAACCTCTACAAAGAACAAGCCTTCAAAGACATTATTTCTTTAATAAATAACATATTTTATTGCATATGGCTATTAAGGAGAGCAGCCAGGATCAATAAAGACTAAATACATAACTATTCTAGTTCCATGTATTCTCTTCCCTAGCAGCATCATTGATTACTCCTATACAGAGTGTACACTGGAAGACACAGTAAGATAAGTTAAGAGTTTTGCCATATGACAATGGCAAGAAATATATTTAGTATCTTGATTCCTAGAAAGAATTTTATATATCTGAAAGAAAAACTCTTTGTTTATAACTATGAATGTTACATAAAAATATTTTAATTTTAAGGTAAAATCAGGCATTTCCCCCCACAAGCCTAACATTTATATATTTTGGTTCCACATTTTGTAAACTAAATTAAGGATGTAAATATTTGCATATGCCTTTTGTGGAAGGTGTTGTATTGAACAGAACTCAGTATATATTCATCTTCCTTAACTTTAGATGCCATCTGATTGAACTATGTATAGTGGCACCGGGAACTAATTATTTTTTCCTCAAATTGTGTGATATTAACAGTTGATCAATTCAGTGTTCTCAGGAACTTGGGACACCATAGGCAATAATCTCTGTTATATCAATTGAGGCAGAAAAGTCATTTAATATAATAGGACTGATACTTAAGTTTTGTTGCCACTTCAATAATTTTACCAGCATATTCATTATTATGATATTATCCTCTCATGCCCTGAAATGAACACTTAGTGGGAAGAGACTACATTCAGATATGTCTTATTATACAATCTTCAGCCCTATATTCAGCAGAATTACTTTGCATTGTGATTACTTTGCATTTTGAGCAGCAGGGCCCTGATTATTTTGTCTCCTCTAATAAAAATGTAAATCAGTTATTTCTGATGATGCATGTACTCACTGTTTGTTTATTAGTCACCTTTATATTCAACCTTTGTTACAACATCTCCCTACCCTGTGCTATGTCTTCACAATAATCCCGGATGCATGTCAGACTAAAACCCTCTTCAGGGGTTTTGAAATGTCACCACAGCTGCAAAGGAGAGGCTAGCCTTGTTCCCTCCCTCACGGCTTTCCCAAGACAACCTGTGACATGTCTGAAGAGAAGGGTCCTGCTTGCATGTCGGTTTACATGTTAGCAAGAACCTAGATTATCTGGGGCTCTTGCTCATGTGTAGATCTTGCAGAGGAATTTTTCCTTATGAGACTTGTCTCCGGCTGCGTGATCAACATGATGAAGGAGGGCCTCTCTCGCCTTTACCACGTGGATGCTTCCAAATTTCAGAACCTGAGAGAGGGACACTGGTTGTGACCACCCAGTCAGTGAGCTCTGGACTCAGTGGAGACTTAGCCAGCACTCTTTCCAGGACAGAGAATGCTCAAAGAGGGAAACCTTATAGTTTACCGTTTCTGTTAGACTAGACTTCAGGAATATACTCATGAAATATTATTTTGAAGTCTCCTTAATCAAACACATATTAGAAGCAACAAGAGGAAGAAACATGTCCTAGCACAGTGTAAACTTTGGGAGTGGTTGAGCTGAGCAAAGCTGATTTTTCTTTTTCTCTTTACTACAGTTCCCATGCCCCCCCATCCCTAAACAAGGCAGCATGGTCTCTAGTCATGTTGGCTGAGAAATTCTGGGAGTGATGATCCAAAAAAGAAACTCTGCCATGCTCTGAGAGCAATGCACAGAAAAACTGCAGTCATTATACTGTTCTCTTCAAAATACTGAGCACATATGTACTGATCACAAATTTCTAGGAGAAAGATTTAAGTTTTATCCTCTCCCAGAATGTGATACTTTGCCATTTTAGGGGGATTTCATTCCTGGCAGAAGGAAACTTATCAGATATCACTGAATTCCATCCAAAACACAAATTTTCAATCTGTTTCCCAACCATTATTATCCTTCTACTTCTAGCAGCTTGATGTGGTTTTTGGTTACAAGAAATTCAGCTAATAACAGCATTATGTGACAAATGTAAGCCTACACATAGAATTAAAAGTCTTTGCACTCTGAAGTAGTTAAAAAGCGAAAGAGACAATTATACAAATACAGTATATCAGAGGTAAAGAATGACATCTCAATACAGTTTAATGATGTTAAGTTCAGTTGTTTCTATTAAATATTTTTATAACGACCATAAATATTTTTAATAGAACTCTAACCTATCAAATTTCATCTTGGCTTAATTTTTAAATTATCATCCTGATGTCCACCTGATAAATAGACAGAGCAGCCAGTAACTGAGAAGCAATCCACCAGCAGCAGGATTCTTGACAGGTCCAGTAAGGCTGATAACTGCACAAAATTCAGTACTGAGATCTAGAAGGTGCCAGCTACTGCACACAAGAAATACAAATCCGGTTCCAGTTGTAACTGAGGTAGTGCTGTAGAGCAGTGGTTCTTAACCTTGGGTTACTCAGGTGTTTTTGGACTGCAACTCCCAGAAGCCTTCACCACCAGCTGTGCTGGCTGGGGTTTCTGGGAGTTGCAGTTCAACAACACCTGAGTAACCAAAGGTTAAGAACCACTGCTGTAGAGGTTTGAAAGGATGCCAGTAAACACTAGGTTTGACTGATGAAGCAGGTGAAAGCAGAACTTCCTAACATGCTGAGAAATAAATATTGTTTCTCTGTTCTGAAAAGGTAATGGCCGTAATGAATCAGCCAGCTGAAAAGGTTCAAAGGTCTGAAATCCTAAAGGTTTATGCAAACAGCAGCAAAGTTCTGCAAAATGCCCAAGTAGATCAGATGGGGTGGTTCCTCTCCAGTACAATGAAGAACTGTTTTGAAAGCTACATGAAAAAGCAGATCTTAAAGTAGCTCAAGATTCAATTCTAAAAAATCAGCGATCAGTTTTCAAAATGGATTCAGGAGTCACAAGGCTGAAACTGGTTTCTTCATTCTGGAAAGAAAAATACAAAAATAAAAAGGTATCAGTAGCCTTGCCCAAAGGATACAGCAGATACAGTCACCATTGCAATAACTCATCTACAATTAAATGCATGGCATACATTCCCACCAGCACATCTTACCTACATAGGGAAGAATAGCCATTGGTGCAATTATTTTCTCTCCCTCATGGATGTCTTATAGACAGGCTCTCACAGCTGGAAGGAGGCCATGTGCCTTTTTTACCACCAGTTACACTGTTTCCCTGAAAATAAGACTTAACCTGAAAATAAGCCCTAGTATGATTTTTCAGGATGCTCGTAATATAAGCCCTACCCCAAATAATAAGCCCCAGTGAAGTGAAAGCCCACCCTCCACCACTGTGCAGCAACCAGAAGAAGATGACCTGACTGTATTTGAATAAACCTTGATGGTTGCAAGGTTAAGGTAATGGTTCCCCTTGACATTTAGTCCAGTCGTGTCCGACTCTCTAGTCGTAGAGCCAGCGTTTTTGTACGTCAAAAAAATAAAATAAGGTGAAAGATTTATACGATCTGAAGAGAAACCAGAGTAAATAAAATAAAATAAAACATCCTCTGAAAATAAGCCCTAATGCATTTTTGGAGCAAAAATTAATATAAGACCCTGTCTTTTTTTTCAGGGAAACATGGTAGATGTCCTTGTCAATACAAAGGCACCTAAGATAAAACCAAAGTAATACTGGGAATTTTATCTCACAATGAATTTCCAAATCCCAAAATGGCTTGGCAGTTGTAAACACAGTATCTTTTAGGCCAGAGGTCCCCAACCCTTGGTCTGTAGCCCGGTGCCAGTCTGTGTCCTGAGCCGGACCAGGCCGCAAAGATAGACCTCCCACCCCACTCCCGCACACACTGCCCCACATAGCCCCTTTGCGCATGCGCATGCACGGCAGCATCTATGCAACCATTCCCCCACCCTTTTGCACATGCGCCCACACACTCTCGAGTGCTGCGCCATTTGCGCATGTGCATGAGTGCCTATATGACTGCGTGCCACCATTTGTGCATGCGCACAAGCGCCTGCACGAGTACCCTCCCACTCCTTTGCGCATGCACGAGGGGTGCCCCGCCTTCCCCATCCGGTCTGTGGGTTAAAAAGGTTGGGGATCTCTTGTTAGGCAATGGATCATGTTCTTGGTTTCAAGCCTGGAGCACTTTAAATGTACAGAAAGGCAAAACCTGTCACCTCCAATTTAAGGGATTACCAAATACAGTAGCAGCTCTTTTTCCATCACACATATCTTAAAAGCAGCTTTAGCACAGAGCTCCCCAACCCCCTGTCCGTGGCCTGGGCCGAACCACGGAGACAGCTCTCTCACCCCCCCCAAACATTCCCCCCTGCACAGCCCCTTCGTGCCTGTGCATGAGTGCACCTTCTTGAAATGTGAGTAAATCTGTTGAAATCCTTTGTGAAAAGTTCAAGCAGAGATAGAAGTGCTTTTTAAACTGTAAATGCCTGGCTGCTTATCTGGGGAATGCACTTTCATTTTTGCTCGGAAGAACACCAGTGAAAGTTGAACAGCTAATGAACTGTAAAAATTACTTTGTTTTCCTGTGCTATGAATCTTTTGCTTTGCTTATGAGAAAAAAATAAGAGATAAGATTTCTAAAAGTTGGACACGAGAGCCATCAGAGAAAAAAAACCATCAGATTGTAGTCTCAAATGCTGAAGACAAATAGAGGTGAATCCCCTGAACCTAAAGAAGTTTCTAAAGAGACTCAGGAAGCTGCTGGAAAGGAGAGGGGGGGTTTCAGGAAGCTGCTGGAAAGGAGAGGGGGGGGTACCTCTCTGAGCAGTCTTATTGGGAAAAAAAGATTGCTGAATTAACAATGGAAAAAAAAGATTGCCGAATTAACAACTGGAATGATATGTGTTTTTGTGTGTTCTTAGAATGGTTTATGTAGTCATAAGATTGTCTTAATGGCATCCATTTTGAATCAATGTCTGTGTAAGGAATTTCACATGCTATTTTCAGACTGCCTAGCTCTTAGTCCTTATCTGGTTGCTAGGATGGCCTGAGAGCTGAACTTCTTGTAGTCATAACACATTCTAACACCTGCAAACTCTCATGAGAAACTTAGGCGGGACAAGACACTTTTTGCTTGTTCCTAATTGGTCATCCTGTGGAGGAAGAAGAAGGGGGGTAATGGAGTCGTAAGTTGTAAAATGGAGTGTTGCTGAGACAGAGAGAGCCTTTTTCCCAAAATGGATTCTAATTCCTGAAATGGAGCTTTTTCCTAACATTGACCTGATGGACTACAATTGGACTTTGCAGTTCCTGATGGACTATGGATTTCTTGGATACATAAGAATGTAGTTTTCTTTAAGAAAAGGATGGCTAGGCCAATCCTTTACAATAGATTAGAATGCATTTCTTGTTTTATTTTTCGTAGCTGGAGTTTGTGAAGTAATCTAATGTCTTGGTTGGAAATGTTACTAAATGCCTTACTTTGCAATAAACTGAATGCTGAGTAGAACTATATTTCTTAATAAAAACAGTAATGTTTAAGATCTTATGTTTTGGTCTCTTGAGCAGAATAGCCTGAATAATTGGCCATGAGTTTGCTATCATTTGAGCCCATCATATACCTGAGTTGTAACTCATGGTTTGTGTTGTGTTTCTTTCTTTTCTTAACAAAGGGGATAGACTTGAAGAAGGAGATTTAGTGCAGTAGCCTGGCTGAGTTTTAGTGCTCACCTTAGCCACATAGGCTAATTTCGTTGTATGGTATACTGTGTATATACTTACAATGACAATAAATTATATTATTATAGGGACTGACTAATCTCTGGAATCTCTCTGTTCCCGGCTCATCTGATCTCCCTGGAGACGGGTGTAGCTTACAACAACTTGTGTGAAAGATCTGGCTAAAGATATATAATGTCAGATTGATAGAAAACTGGAACGTTCTTTCCAAAATAGACTCTTTAGTGAAGGAATGTCAACAGATGGGAAAGGACATGAAAGCAGTCCAGAGAGAAATACAGGGGATGAAGGCAAGCATAGTAAAAATGGAGGACAGAGTAAAGCAAATGGAAGACCTATCAAAACAGAATGAACGGAAAAGAAAGGCACAACAACAGAAGATAGATGATTTGCAAAAGAAAGTGATTTATCTGGAAGATAGCTCAAGATGCAACAACATCGAAATAATGAATTTTGAGCTGCAAAAAGGAGCTGACCTTAAGCAGGAACTTATGCGTACGATCTGCGAGATTAGTGGAATAACCATCAGTTTTAGTACGGCCCATCATCCTCAATCTCATGGTATGGTGGAAAGAGGTCAACAAACTTTGC